TCAGCATGGGTGTTTTATAAGAAAAAAATTGGACGTATTTTAACTTTTACTTTTTAAAAAGAAATAATTAAACTATTACGATTTTACGTTAAAATAACTATAGATGTATTTCTGAAAATTTAGAGTTTCTCAAAAATGTGTTTTTTGGATTTAAAATCTTTTTTCTACTGTAATGTAACATACCAACGCTCATTCAATAATGTTGAAGAGGTAAATTTTGGACCTACTATATAACAATCAGCTTAAAAAAAGGACCTACGGAATAGCTTATCTAAATCGCACAGTAATACTTACTATGCGCTGATATGTCGATTTGATGCGTCAGTGGGTTCACACATCCCATACTCATTGTGCCTTAATGCGGTTTGTCGATGGTATTTGTTAGTCCGTTTGGAAATTCGTTCATTGCGTTCGTGATTCATCAAATTAAATTGATTGTTCATCCAGAAACCGAATTTCAATTTTTAACACGACATTTTATCAACGCATTGTCACATCAAATCGGCGCATCAACATATAGAGACTAGGTTACTAAATGTCCTGATGAACATCATCTACAAAATGCATGAACGCATAGTGAATATGGGGCTTAACGAAAACAACTTATCTGTCTCGTTCAGCAAGATGTGTTCTTGTTTGTAAATATTTGTACAGTTGTACAAATATAGGAAGAGACTTGGGGTCGCGTGTTATTTTATATTTCTCACGTCTCTAGCTATACTTATTAAGTTGTAAATAATATGATACTTTTATACAGGGTGAGTCCTAAATAAGTGCAAATATATCAATGTTGGTAGATCTCAATAAAAGAAATATATTTTCTCTTTACCGTTTTTCAAATAAGTCCAAAATAAGCGAGTTATCTTACATTGAAAATTTAAAAAAATATATTTTTTGCTTCAATTTTGAGAACCACTGGATCTTTTCTGGTTTTTCTTTTTTTGTAAATTTAAGCTACTACCCATGTTGCCATATTTACAAGAAATTATGTTGTTAACTAAAAACAAGAAAAAAATCTAGGAACATTTTTCAAAAAATTTCAAATTTTCAAAATATTTTCTGGAATCGAAATATAACTATCCTTAAAAATATTTGCACTTATTTGAGACTCAACCTGTATAATATAACCGTCAGATTTAAACTAGAGTTGAAAATATATTTCATTATATTTCCGAAAATAAAGCAAGTGTGCTTTTGTTTTAATTTAATTGGAAAAACTTTTTTCTTTTTAACTACACATAAATCTGAATTGTGGTTAAGTATCTTATTGAATATAAAGAAAATAGTGCCGTACTCAGCCTGGAAGTCACGAATGGAAGGAACACAGCAAAGATATCTTCATTGTCAATTCCTTAGGAATCGAACCATGCTGGCTTTTTAATAAGAGAGTAATAATAAAAGAGGTTTGTGTTAACAGGCCATCACTTGTAGTTTTTTTTATAATCCACTATGTCAAGAAATAATAGCTTGGATAAAGTAAGACTCCATTTCATGGCCCTCTGAAACTTAGACGCTGAGGAATTTCCGTCAAGTTTCCACATTTCGCTCCCTAAACTCTAGTCTGTTGTCACAGTCTGTTATCCGGTGTTGTCACAGCCGTATAGTTTCCCATAGCACTATTTAGAGAACGAATTCAAAGAGTGGGACAACGTATTTAACCCTTACTTCTACGTTTGATATCTATGAAAGCTGTTTAGCTACTTCACAAGCTGATCTATATATGTAAGATAAGTCTTGCCTCAGAACATATTTTTTCTATATATTCTCATAAACTACTTATGCGATGTGGCGTTTTTTTAACAAGAGTTTAGTTAGTTTAGTTTAGTTTTTACAAAAATTAGTTAATTACATACTTAACCGTTTTAATTAATAAATTATTCTAAATAAATGTGGATTTGACTCAGAAATCAATACCATAATAAGTTATGAAAATGAACGTCTCTGTTATTAAGTACCTATAAATGAGCATTCGTCAAAAAATTAAATAAAATTTATAAGATGTTACTTTTAAACACAGTGTCTAATAAACATACAAAATTCAGTTTTCTTGGTATTTGGAGCAATTATTATTAATTAACGTGAACAGTCAATTAATGTAGTTTGAATACTGGGATCATATTAATTAGTCCTCTTTAACACAAAATATTTAAACTGCATTTTATCTTTTAATGAAATATTAGTATCTGTACTCTTTGAAAATTTGTTACGTCATTAAAAAAAATCTAAAATGTCAATATTCCATAGGTATAGTGATAAATGAGGTCTAAATTATAAGAAAATGCATTTTCTTATAATCTGATTCTAGTAAAACATACAAGGTGTTCTATTTAAAATAAACAAGTTATTACCGTTTAAAGCTAGTAATATTTAAAATAAATTTTTAGATACTCTGTATAAGATAGTATTTTGTATATTATTGCAATACAATATCTGAATCAATAAATAAACTTCAGTAAATATTTAGTATTAAAAACTTCGATACCGTTGAAGAAATGAAGCCTTAAAATTATTTTTATTGCAATTTGATAAAATTGAAAATATTTCAAAAACGGTAAGGTTTAAGTGTAATAAACCTTAATTAATTTACCTTTATTTCAATCGTGTTCCATTTAAAAAAAATACAATTATAACATTTTTTACTTATTCTGTTTCTTGTAAAAGTATTTTCAAATTGTAGCTCTAATAGCCCTTCAACGAACCTAAAATTTGCAACTTGGTTAGTCACGTTAGTTGGTTAAAATAAATGGTTAGTCACGTCATGACTGGCTGCATTAACATACCCTTGTAGCAGATTGAAGTCATGATCACGTCACTTTTTTCAATCACTTATATTAAAAAATCACAGTTTAAATACTACCGACAGAGTGATTTAAAAATCACGGTATATATTTTTTCTTCTTTATAGGTTTCTGATTATGCACTCTTTTAACAATGTTGTGATCACCATTATTTTTTTTGTGATGATGAAAATAAATAATACTTTGTTACTCCACAGAACCAATTCGGACTTCTACAAGTACATCTTTATTATATCTTAAAATAGGAATCTCGTATGAAAGATAAATAGTCCTGAGGAAATATACACATACATTGTTCTGGCCCAAATAATGGTCGACGAGATTCGGACACATTGCCTACATGACAGTAGAATGGACAGACAGATAAAACAACTTTATAGTAAAGCAGCTTTCAATTTAATAGAGCCTGTGTTTGTATTCAGGATTTGTCAGACAATAACGAGTAATCCGGCTGCTTGGGCCGCAGTAATATATTAAACTCCTTGTGTAAGCGAACTGTTTCTGGTCGTATGTAGATAAATACGGAAATACAAATGCCCATAAAAGACTAAAATACACTTAAATTTTACTATTTTTATTGGGTAGTAGGATTATATAACATAGGGTGGCGCCTCTTATACGACGCGGAGGCTCCAAAGAGAACGGTAGTTTAATATCGAAATAAAATTTTGGGTGCATATATAGATTAATTGAAAGCATTTTATAAAAATATATGGAGTTATACAGGGTGTTCACAAAAAAGTTATACATCATAGTTGTGTTTTTTTGTAATGGAACATCCTATGTATTAATTAATTTTTGGATTCTAGAAAAAAAATAAAATGTAAGGATTTTGACATATTTTGTGAAAATGAAGAATAAATTTTAAATTTCAATAATAGCTGGCATAGCTGCCTCTATTTTATTATATATATATATATATATATATATATATATATATATATATATATATATATATATATATATATATATATATATATATATATATATATATATATATATATATATATATATATATATAATATAATAATAAATATATTAATTCTGTGGAATATATATCGATATAACATAAAACGAGATGTAATTAACGAAATATCATCGTAACAACAGCTATTTTGGAAACGTCTAGGTTTACTTATTTCACTGAGATTTATGAAAAAAAATTCTTTGCCTCCGGTACAGATACCGCCACGTTTTGGAAATAGCTAAAAAAACGAAATTGAACGAGGCAACAAAAAACGCCAAAAAAATCCCCCCTCGCTCTCCTTATGAGTAGTTTTCAGGCGCTTTTAAAAATCTAAAGTAGGTCGAGGCAAACCGAAGTGGGTCAAGACAACTGGAAGTAAATCGAAATGCGTTCAAAGTTAGGCGACGAAATGCGACCTTGACATGTTTCGAATTGTTTCTGGCATAGTGTGTACGCTGTTTTAGAAACGAATAAGGAATAATAAACGAATAATAAATCTCCCAAAATAACCAATATAAACCCCGTTCAGATGCCACTGGGTGAAATGAATGTTTTTTTGTACATCAAAGAAGGCATTTTGATGCTCAGAAGATGTGTATGTTGAAAATTCATAAGGGTATCTATAATAACATTAGAGTTATTACGAAAAAGATTTTTTTTAAAATTTTACCGCCTTTTTGAAAAGTTAACACGTTTAGGACATACATTCCTTCATATGAAGTTTTTTCCTTAGAATAAGTCAAAGAATTACGCCCTTAGCATGTTATTAACAAGTAGACTATATGTATTAGTTATTGAAGTAAAGCATACAAGACACCAAATAAGACACATTTTTGAGAATGTTTAACATTCTATAATTCAAAAGTTTGGAGTAATTTAAAAATACTCTTTTGAATTACTTTAACAATTCAAGTTAAAGAAGAAGGTAAAAAATCCCTTGACACTAAACTGCGTTAAACTGTTATTTTAACGTAAAATATTAGGTTTATTTATTACTATGAAGTATTTTAACATTAAAATGTAACTCATTATTTTCTTTTAGTTCGAAACTTAAACATTATTTAAAATTATCTAAAACATTATTTTTCGAGATATCAAAGAGAATATTAAAAATTTTGAAATACAAAAGTTAATGAATTCTAAAAAATAATATATTGTGAAGATAGTTTTATTGTATTTCAAAATATATTTACATTAAAATTTTTTTATTAATATATAATATATGAACTTTTTAGGCAGGAGTATAATCGTTAAAAAAGGAGACGGATCTCAAGTCAAAGAATCTACAGACAGTTCAACTACGCTCGAAGACGATGACATCAAAGGTAAGAAGTATTTTTTTTAACTTAGATTTGGCTTATAAATTTGTATAATATATAAATACAAACCTTTATAAAATATTATCCAAATGCATTATTAAACGGTACAAAATAACCTGCAAAAATTTCAAAGGGAGAAAAAGTTTTAACACAAGATTTCAATTGCTTTTTCGTTCTTTGAAATTTTATTTAAATATATAATAAGGTTGAACCCCTTTAGAGAAGTCGATAAAGATACTGAGTATGGAATGTATAATGCCCCCTTCACTGATCACTGTATATAGAGTATCATCACCTATGCTCTTTAATTAGCAAAAGAAAGTGTTATACAGTCCGTTCAGAAAGTAATTGATACATGGATTTCATTCATTTCATTTCATTAGATTTAAATATTATTTGCTTAGATATTTTACATTACTGTCAGAATCGGACTGTATAAATTTAGCGTCTATCATAATACACAGATTGTCTCCTAAGTAATATAAAATATTTCGAATAAAAGTACTGCTATTTTATAAATAAATGTTAAAGAGTAGTTGATAAAGTCAACGTGTACGGGGTTCAAGTACACTTGAACCATGTCAACCCACCTTTAAGAATATGTTACAATAACAAATTTTATAATTCAAAAAAAACTTAAAAAATTATAATTTTTTTTGATGCAAGTGATTCGTTTTTTTTTTCATAAATAACATGAAAATTATAAATCACTAGCGTGTACCAGCGACTTCGTTCGCGTCGAATTAATCATTTGTATTGGTGGTGATAAAGCAAAGCAAGAATTTCCATTCACATACAAACTGGATAAAATTTTCTCACATTTATGTCAGCATGAGAAAAAACGATATGGCGATATTATTATATAACTTGGTAATATTTGAGGGGTAGTTTCATCTCGTTGGAATTTGACTTTCGAAAAATCCGTTTATAAGCTTTTTACGTCAAGCAGTTTAAGCAGAATCGTGGTTAAGAAATTATTCTCAATTTAGAAAAATGTGATTTAACTATAAAAAATTTAAATTTTTATAGTGTGAGCTATTTTTAAAAAAGTGGGTGAACCATATTGTAATTTTGGTTGAGACCCTATACACCTATGAGTTCCAAAAAACATTTAACCAAGAAACTAAATAAATTATTTAATTAAAAATAATTTCAAAAATAAATATAGATATAAGTAGGTAAGCCAAAAAGAACAAAGTATAAAAAATGTAAAACTACAATAAAGTAGCAAAACTTTTTGGAACACCGGGTATGATTTTTTAAAAAATTTCAAAATATGTAAAAAAACCAAATAAATTATGCTTGTCCAAGCGTTTTCCCGAAAGACTAACCGTTTTTTAAATAACAAATATTGTAATATTTGAGAGGCGTTTTCACCCTCTTGGAATTTGAGATTTGAGAAACCCCTCCTTATCGAAACTCTACACCCCACAGTCAATCCGTTTGCCAAAAATCAGTTTTAAACGTCAAGCAGTTTAAGCAGAATCATGATTACTCAATGGTCATATTTTATGAAACACTCTGTATAAATTTATAAAAAAATTTAAAATATGTAAAACAACAAAATAAAATATACGTGTTTGAGAGTTTTTCCGAAAAACTCATCGATTTTTAAATAAAAAATATTTTAATATTTGAGGGATAGTTTCACCCCCTTAGAATTCGAGTTTCGAAAAATTCCTTCCTATCGAACCTCTACACCCTAAAGTCAATATGTTTTCCAAAAATCAGCTTTTTACGTCAAGCGCTTTAAGCAGGATCGTGATTAATCAATGACCAGATTTTTAGAAACACCCTGTATACATTTTTAAAAAATCTTAAAATATGTAAAAAACAAAAAAAAATATACGTGTTTAAGCGTTTTTTCGGAAACTTGACCGTTTTTTAAATAAAAAATATTTGACGGGTTGTTTCACCCTCTTGGAACTGGAATTTCGAAAAATCCCTTCTTATCGAACCTCTACACCCTAGAATCAACCTGTATGCTAAAATTGAGCTTCTTACGTTGAGTGGTTTGAGCAGGATCGTGATTAATCAGTATGTCAATCACTTAAGGATTTTATATATTAGTATAGATTAAAAACTTTGATACCCTTGGAGAAATGAAGCCTTAAAATTTTTATTGCAATTTCATAAAATTGAAAATATTTTAAAAGCGGTAAGGTTTAAGTGTGATAAACCTTAATCAAATTTACCTTTATTTCAATCGGAGAATCTAAAAATAGAATAATATACAGGGTGTTCCATATAAAAAAATACAACTATAATAGTTTTAACTTATTTGGGACACTCTGTATCTTGTAAATATATGATTTTTTAAATTGTAGCTCTAATAGACCTTCAACGAACCCAAGACTTACAATATGTACAAATCTAATCGTTTAGCTACAATACTGTCAATACTCCGTGTCGTATGTGGTGAACAACCCTGTATATTTTTATTTATACAGGGTACCTAATATGTATAGGTACGGTCGATTATTGGGTAAAATATAGGGTCAAAAAGTTAAATAAGAAATTTTTAGAGTTCTTAGATGCCTATTAGCTAGTAATAATCTTAAATACACCGCGTCGGTTATGAATGAAGATTTAAGGTACGAATTGTGTGTGTGAGCATAACTGTGTGTCAAAATATCTTATATTACTTATGGAGCGTTCTGTACATTTCCTTTCACCATTATTTTACTTTTAATCTTTACCTGTCTCTTTTTAGATCTATGTATATATAGCGATCATTCATTCCACATACCACTGGTTTATTTTTAAACGAAATAAGTATTGATACTACTTGTCAAACATCGCTAAGCGTTTGGACTCTTTTCAGAATATTATTTTTAACAAGTTAATGCCTCTTAATTAGCACACATTCTAAACGCTTAACTGACACTGACAAGTAGTATTTTAATGAATCTAACGTAAAACTTTATAGTTTACGTTTGAATTGAGTTCTATAAATCATCAGTTTCTTACCGGAAAATCTCTAAATTGCTATTTGCACTTGATAGAATTTGCTTCTTTTTGTTTGGTTTATTTTTTTAAACGTTTCAAATGTTTAAAGAAATTTCTATAACGTAGAGATTTTTTTAACATTTACTTCGTCATCTACACCGTTCACATGAATAACATTATTGCACAGTATCTAAAAAAGCGGATTAAGGGCAATCCGAAGAGGTGTTTTATTTCATTGAAAACTTATTATTATTAAATGTTAAAAATGATGAAGTTCTATGTTTCTGAGTTTACTATTCAATTCTAATACGTTAATTAAAATTAAATTAGTATTTATATTTATGAGATTTTTATCGAAGCCGCCACTACACGTTGAGTTTTGTTATTAGTCGTGGTTATTAGCCGTTGGACCTGCAGAAAAAGATATTTATAACTAAAGCAGTGGCGTAGCAACTATCGCAAACCCCTCTGAGGTCCGGGAATAAAATAATATAAATATAGAATTATTCCCAAAATAGTGAATAGGGGAGGAGGCAGGAGGAGGGGGGGTGGCATAATTTGTTAACTCAGTTTTGCGGGGGGGGCCATAATTTGTCGCTACGCCACTGAACTAAAGAGACCACGAAAAATTGCTTAAAATGCTGGAAATTATTTTCAAGTTTGTAGAACAGCCGCTAGAGGGCGCAACTGCAATAAAAAAATAAGAAAATGAAATTTTTAGAAAATTTTCCTTAGTCAAGGTATACTATAAATAATAGATTCACAATATTCAGTAAATTTTTGATATTTTTTGTTAAAACTATTTTCCTCTATCTGCTAAAATAAAGTGGTGGGGGAAGGTTAGATCTGTTTTTATTTAAATGTTAATAACTCCGGTCTGGATGATAGGAATTCAACAAACTAGAGCTCGTTTAAAAAATCGTTCCTTCCTCTATAATTATATTATACAGGGTCGCTGTTATGAAAGGAAATGGTCGATTATTAGGTGAAATATAAGAGGTACCGCAAAAAGTTAAATACAAAAGTTATAGGATTTTTAAATATCTATTAACGAGCGATAAATTTAAGTATACAGGGTCGGTCATAAAGTCGTGGCACATCAAAGTTGTATTTTTTTAAACAGAACCCCTTGTATATTATTACGTATTTCAATTATTCTTTCAATTCTAAGTAAAAATCGAAATACACACAATGTATCTCAAACCAACCATTTCCGAGTTATTGACTTTTGAAAATATCACTTAAACAATTCGATCTAATTAATTTCGATGTGTTCGGTTTGATTTAATGATGCCATTCTGCCGAAACTGTGATACTGTTGTAATGGGTTTTTAAATGCCTATTAGCTACTAATAAATTTAAGTATACAGGGTTGGTCATAAAGTTGTGTCACATCAAACACTTTTTTTAATGAAACCCCCTGTATATTATTGCATATTTCAATTGTTCCTTCAATTTTAAGCAATAATCGTAATACAAAATATACATAAATTGAAGAATTGAAATGTTAATCGAAAATTTTGTTTGGTTTGATTTTATTTTGGTTTAATTTCCAGACTTATTAAGCAAAATTATAATAAATACGAAAAAATTACTAACCTAACCTAAACAAAAAATATTAAAAATTTACTGAAGCTATTATTTATATAATGTATTTTCCCTTATCTAGGCAAAATTTTGTAAAAATTCCATTTTCTTATTTTTTATAACAGTTGCGCCTTCTAGCAGCTGTTCTACAAACTTAAAATAACTTCCAGCAATTTTTCATAGCCTTTTTAGTTATAAATATTTTTTTCCGGAGGCCCTACAGCTAATACTTTCCGAGATACAGCCGAGAGCTATTCTTAGTGGGAAACCCTATACAGTTCAAATCTCTCAGAAATTGTTACGTGTAGGGCCTTTTTAAGTTCTAAACTGTGCAATTTGGTATGCAGATCAAGTCGTTGCGTGTAGGGTTCCTTTATGTTATGTATCCAAACAAGTTCTTTTATATTTCTTTTGAATGACTAAGTAGTCTTCCAATATGTACGAAAAAAAAACGTTAATGTAAACATTTGGACTATGGTTCCAAAGGACTATGGACCAAACTAATACTATTAATTATAATTAATCTATTAGGATTAGAGATTAATTAATATTGAAGGAATTTTCATACTTTTTATAGAAACGAAAAATACTAAAAAAGTATTCAGTTATGGAATATATTTGGCATTTTTAAAGACGTAATATTCATACATATATTAGTATTTATTTCTATTTAGCGAATCAACAAATAACTATAATCTATAAAAATTTGATACATAATTTTAGTTTTTCGTGAAATACAACACCTCACTACGTCTGTTAGTTGTACAATTTTTTGAGACTTGTGGTGTATTATGTTGAACCTATATATTTTGGGGATTTTACCATACTGAAATCCTTTTATATGTTAGTCTTGTTAAGTGTTAGGTTAACCAAATACCCCATGTACCAATTTTATTTAATGTTATAACTTGACTTGAGAGCACATACCATAAAAATGTAAATCGTACTCCTTGGAAGAACGAATTTATAAGAAAAGCTCAGTTTCTCCATAAAAACTGAGTTTGAATCTAATTAATATTATTCAAAGTACAAGTGTTCTTTTTATAATACATAAATTAAATACATATGATCGAAAAACGACATTTGAATAGGCTTAGTGATGACGGTCGATGACATTTCATACATATGTAGAATGTTTTAATGAATGTCATGTATCGTTATTTCCATGCCAACTCTAACCCCCTTTTTTCGATCATATGCTATATTTATATGAACATCTTCTAGGTATATAAATTATATGTATATGAGAATCGTAACTAAAAGGCTACATAAAGCCACACAAAAGAAGATTGTTTTCGAATGATATTCGAAAAAGTTTAAAATTTTTAAATTAAAAACACTAGTAACTAAGTTAACTCATTATACCGTATGATCGAGAAAAAACGGCGTCAGCGATGGCTATGGAATGAAGATCGCTGACATTTTATATGTAAATTTATATGGGAAATGTCATCGATGTACATCATTTCCCAGCCAACTGGACGCCGTTTTTTTTCGATCATACGGTATTTTGTAATAAATTTTATCGAAAGTTATCAGCTATAAATTCGCTCAAATGTGTTTGAATATACTTTATTATCAGAAGGACTTTGGAATATTTGGTAAATTAGCAGCAAGACAAATTTAATTTTGATGTTGGGTACATTTAACGAAGTAAAATACCGTATGGTCAAAAAAAACGGCTGAGGAATGTCAATCGATTATAATTTGGTCAAGGTCAATCTCTAGACGTCGTTAACTAAAAATTGACATAAAACTTGTTAAATATTAACTATAATTGTAGAAAGATTTAAAAAGGATAGAACGTTTCCAGAAAATAATTTTTTCTCGAATTTTAAACTCCAATATTTAAAAATAATTTTTATTCAATATAAAAATAAATTACAACTTTCTTAAGGCAGCAAGCGCCATTAAACAGTGCAGCCGAGCAAAGTAAATAACGTCTAGGGCTTGACCTCGCCGAAATTATCATCGACTGTCAATCCCCAGCCGTCTTTGACGCCGTTTTTTCGATCGTATAGTATATTTTCAGTTTAATGGATAAACAACAAATTTTTCCTTCGATAGTTATTTTTACCTTCGTTTTTATTCGATTACAGACCACTAATTTCTGGAACTTCATATTAAAATTTTTCTAAAAAAGGTAGACGCGTTAGTCCAGTTGAAAATATTTGTTGATTTGATTTCTTATTGATTGTTGATTTTTGCCATAATTCTATGACCTACACGGATAGATATATCCTTTTGAATTTAAGAGTATAGGAGCCCAGACTGAACTTGGGACAAAACTCCATTTAAGAGTAGGTAGGTCTTTAAATGAAGTAAGAGTTATCTCTGTTAAAGAAGTTAGTTACTTGGTCCAAAATATCAAAACATCAACATATATGAAAGTCATATAGGCTGAGGACAAGAATATACTTCTGATTCAAGAAAATATTTTTATCGGTATACTAAATCCTCTTGATTATAAAGTATAGTATTAAAATAAAGTTTTGAAACATTTCTGAGGAGTACTAATGCGTTTTTTGGTATGTCGCATATAAATATTTCTGGCCAATGAGATAATTTGTTTGTGTTCTGGACACGGTTCAGAAGACAAGAAGGGCGGAGTCGATCGAAGCTCTACCGTTATAGCTAAAGAACCTGAAGGTAAATTCCCTTTACATACCTTTTTACCTTTACCACTTGACCTTTTATCCTCAATTTCATTTTTTTAATGACCTAGATTTTGTATAAAATTGTTTTTGTTAATAAATTAATAATTAACTGTCCATGGTTAATTTTTTTATTCATTCTATAGATGATTTTCTACACAACTCAAAAGTCGTTAAAAGTTTTGATGATCTAATTTACAGATCTGGAGATTTTGATATTAAGCTATATTTTAGCGAGCTTTACTTTGTTTTTAAAATATATCCCACTTCTGGGCACTTCCACTTCAACCGAAAGTACCTAGTTAAAATTTTACTTATTTTAAATATGTCAACTTATACATACAGGGTGGCGCCTCTTATACGCCGCGGAAGCTCCAAGGAGAACGGTAGTTATATCGAAATTAAATTTTGGCAGAACATGTAGGTTAACTGAAAGCATTTTATAAAAATATATAGAATTATACAGGGTGTCCCCAAAAAAAGTTACACATCAAAGTTGTGTTTTTTCTAATGGATAACCCTATATATTAATTGATTTTCGGATTCTAGCAAAAAAAAAAGGTGAGTTTTATTATAGCAGCATATACCTAAAATCTAAGGATTTTGACATATTTCACATTTTGTGAAAATGAAGAGTAAATTTTAAATTTCGATAACTGCTACCTAAATTTTAGTTGACCTTGTATAGCCTGATTCAGTTAATTTCAGTAACCATTGTTTGTTAAACCAAATTGAAATTTGACACGAAAAGTTATACAGGGCGACACAAAATTAATACGGAACATTAGTCACTTTTAAAAGCAAGTTACTCCTTTATTTTAAATGGAACACCCCGTATATTTTTCCGGTTTTCAATGGGGCATGTATATATCTTCAAAATATTATTAAGGTTGCCTACCCCTTGATTTTGCGTTATTAGATCTTTATTATTTGGAAAAATCTAGGTGGCTGTGTGATATACCTTTTGTTAATTTAACAAAAATTAAAGATTGTAAAGTAAAATATTCAACGGTAATAAAAATATACACGTTTAAAACATATTTTAATTATTACAGAATTAAAACTAGATATAAACCTATAATTTTGTGACAAAAATTAGCTAGATGAAATTAAATGCTCAAAATGCTTCCTTTCCTGTTAACTGCATAAAATGATTGTCGTTTCAAAAGGATCTTTTCCTTTTAAAAGGCATATGTGGAGTTCTACCTCGAAAAGCAGCTACAATAATTTCTCTCATGTTATCGATAATAGTTGGTCGAGTATTGTAAAGACTGTCTTTAACATATCGCCATAAAAAACCCAGACTAGATAAAATCAGGAGCATTTAGGTATTCTATTAATTGGTGAATGCATGTGTACATTCAATATACTGCACACTGCATTCACCAACTAATAGAATCATATCAATTCTTTCTGATGTAGGATTTGTTTGCATTTTCGACAAATTTCTGAGAAATGTTTTTGTTTTAACTGACACAAAATTATAACTAGTTGTTAAAATTCGACTAATTAGACAGCTATGTTGAAGTAACATCTGACATATCAGTCACCTAGATTTATCAAATAATAAAGATCTACTCAGATCAATTAATGTAAATGAAAATATCTAGGAAAATCCTTGTTTGAGGGGTAGGCAACCTTAATGGTATTTTGAAGAGACATAAATTCTCCATTGAGTATAGGAATAATATACTGGGTGTTCCATTTAAAATAAAAGAGTAACATGCTTTTAAAGGTGACCAATGTTCAATATTAAATTTGTCTCAACCTGTATAACTTTTTGGATCAATTTTTAATTTGATTTAAAGTACAATAGTTAAAAACTACATATTAGGCTATACCGGGTAAATTCCAATTTAGGTAGCTTTTATTGTAATTTAAAAATTGTTCTTTATTTCTAGAAAATGTTAAATATGTCAAAAACCTTACGTTTTAGTCATATACTTCTCTTATAAAACTCACCTTTATTTTTATCCCAGAATCCGAAAATCAATTAATATGTAGGGCGTTCCATTACAAAAAACACAACTTTGATATGTAACTTTTTTTGGGGACACCCTGTAGAACTCTCTATATTTTTAAAAAGTGCTCTGAATTAACCTAGATATGCTCACAAAATTTCATTTCAATACAAACTGTCGTTCTCCTTGGAGCCTCCGCGGCGTATGAGAGGCGCCAGCCTGTATATTGTATATTATGCTTATTGCATTCTACATTAAATTATAAATACACTTTTAGACTCATGTTCTATACATATGTATAACCGTTTTATATACCGTGTGTTCCATCGTCGACGTGAACATAGGAAATGCCATGTAAATTTTAAAAGTGAGTAATTAATACATTTTTCTCTCTCTCTCGTTCTATTGTTCATTTTTAATAATGTATATGAATCCGTTTTTGAGTTATGAAATGACCAAAAAACAATTAGAAGTTATATCACAATATGACAAATTTATTATGATATTCTTCTACAGGTAGTAATATATTAAAATCTACAGGGTCGCTGTTATGTATGGAAACGGTCAATTATTAGGTAAAATATAGGATGTACCGCAAAAAGTTAAATACAAAAGTTATAGGATTTTTAAATATCTATTAGCGAGTAATAAATTTAAGTATACAGAAAAATGTTCATTTTTTAAATGGAACCCCCTGTATATTACTACATATTTCAATTCCCCCTTCAATTCTAAGCAAAAATCGAAATACACACAATGTACCTCAAACCAACCGTTTCCGACTTATTGCCTTTTGAAAATATCACTTAAACAATTTGATTTAATTAATTTCGGTATGTCCAGTTTCATTTAATGATGCCATTCTGCCGAAACTGTGATACTTAATAATATTTGACATTAGTTCACAAGTTAGATTATATCAAGTCTGGAGTTTCAATGTGAGTTTTGTCATAAAAATGAAAGTATTTCGAAAATTTGTATAGGAAATTTATACAAAAGAAGTGTCTGAAATTTCATGTAGAATCTAAAAAAGCCTAAAATATTTAGATAGTTCTATTTAAAATAAGCAAATTGCTAACCACTTTGGGTTAAACAGGAAGAGCTAGGTAGTGGAATGCATTATAAAATAAGATTAAACTAGAAATATCCTTACAGCGCTTTCAGATAGAGCGGACCGTCCGCGATTTCAAGCAAGTACGATGAGTTTATATGAACAACTTCACATGGGCGCGTATGCTTCGTCCGACGGAGTTCGTCCGACGGCTATCTTGAAAAAACACGACGTACGGTCCAACGCCGACGCTCAGCTCCATCTGAAAGCGCTGTAACAGCGTTTTCAGACGGAGCGGAGCGTCCGCAACGGACCGTCCGCGACTTCGAGCAAGCACCATCCGCGTGTACGTTCCGCTCCATCTGCAAGCGCTGTTAATCAAAACTATTTATATTTGTCTCTAAATTTTATTTTATTTATTAATTTTATACTGTTTTAAAATGTTTTTTTTCAATTCAAAAATTCAAACTTATGAATTATCAAAGCAATATTAGAAAAAAAAATATTTTAATTGTTACATCATTTTTCCTTTAACAATTATTTTTAATGTACAAAATCTAGGTAATTTTTTTGATCACTTTTTTTGTCTAAATCGCTTTTGTCATTAACAAATATTAATCACAAAATTAATTTTAACATATACTTCTAACCGAATATACCTTTTTTTTTGGTCCACAACGTTTTATTGATTAAGGTATAATTAAAAAAAATACTTTTTGCTTTTGGCAAATATTAAAAAAAATCTATACGATAAACATAATTTTCGGCAATAATAAGTAAGTCTACAAAAGATGAACAAACAGCTTTCAAATTATAATACGTCGAAAACATTTCCGTTTTTTGTTAAAACAATAAAGAAATTTCACGAAAAATCTTGAAAAAATAACTAAAATTCGTTTTCTTGGGAAGATACTGACGTAAATAATTAAAGTTAAGAAACGCTTTTATTTCGAGATGAGATTTTCATTTTCGTAGAATTCGGGGAAATGAAAAAATTTTGTTTCCTGTAATATATTTAAGTCTATTTTCTAAAATTTTATTAGTTATTAAATAATCGATTTTAATGTTTTTTTCAATCTCAATCAATGATTCATTTGTCTCAATGAAGCAAATTCGTGTACAACCCGATATTTTGGAAAATATCATATACAGGGTGGCGCACCTCATTCGCCTCGGTTGATTATACGAAAACGGAAAGATATAGAAAGAAAATATTCTATGGGTATATGTGGGGAGACAATGTGCACAATTTAACATTTTTTGAAATATACAGGGTGTTTCAGAACTAAGATCCATACCAAAGTTATATTTTTTGTTATGGAACACCCGGTATTTTATTTTATTTCTGGATTCCTGGGCACAGGAAAGGCATTTATTATAAGGGTTAAATATGTTTAAAATCTTTGGTTTTTGAGATATTTGAAGATATTTAAATTTGCATGCTACAATAGAATAGATTGTTAACACCCTGTACATTACTATTCTCAGAATTAATTTTTATGCTGAATTTAAAGGTAGAGAAATAAACTTTACTGAAAAATGGTATTGCTTCCTCAACTTTATACAGGGCCATCAAAAGTTACCGATCTGTTTTAAGTATATATTTTATATAAAAACTTCGTTATTTCAAATGCAACACTCTGTATTTTTTTAAATAAATCGAAGCAGATTCAGATGCTCTTTCAAACTATATTAGGGTTTCCTATACCTATCTAGCTCAGATTTTGCATAAAAAGCGATTTTTAAATATTGCAATCAAGATAGGCTGGTATCGGTATGGCAATTTTATAGTGATAGTTAGTAACTATTTCCAAAGTCGACATTAGTTTATGGACATTATTATTTATAATTTATAACAGTTTACTTAAATTTACCTACAATAGTTTAATAAATAAGTATTCATTATTTTATCAAGAAAAATAAAGCAGTATCTGCTGGCGGAACGAAAGTAAATATGTTACTAGTGATTTTATTTTGTGAAGA